TTTATATGTCATAGATTGGTTGGTGCTTGCCCCTAGCAACTCTCATCACAAGCTCCTCTCTTTCGCATATCAGTACTCCATCGATGCCAATGCTGATCCTAGTGAGCCCCCATCATAACTTTGCCAATCGAATTTGAATTCAAACCAGTTCAAATTTGTTTCCAAATATTTATAAGTCCAATAAACAGTAAAAGAACACCAGATTGCTCCTAATTGGAGATAATTTTATAAAAAATAAAATTTTAAATAAATATATGTTTAATATATATGATTGAAGAATTTTTTGCATATAAATTGTTATAAAGATGTAGTATGTTAAAAAAAATTAATTGCTGTTATTGCATGGAGTTATTAATGATTTTTAATATAAAAAATGAACAAAAGAATGCATTATTTGATTGTCATAGATAGTTTTCATTCAATGATCATATTTTTGGATATAAATGTAGTTTATAAAAATAGTATTTAGAATAATCCTTCTTTTGGGAAGCAATAAAACTCTGTTTTTAAAATCAATAAAAAAGTCATTCTAAACGAGGCCTAAATCTTCCTCTCCACTCCACACAGAGTGATCAAATATAATATGGGGTTTCTATCATTCCATAAATTATCAAAAATAATCGCGGCTAGTTCAAACTTAACTCGTTAGCTCATCAAATTCGACTCACGAGTCATATATCGAACAAAGCCTGACCTGGATCACGAGTCGGCATGACTCACTCACACTCCTTGTTGGAGGCCCTTGGAAATATTATGTGTATGTTATACTATTATAATATTATATATATACACGAGTAATTTTCTTTTAAAATTGATATAAGTTTCACATGCAATGATGAAGTACAGGAGGGGAAAATAAATAATTCTACAATATGTGTAAAATTTTAAAATATTGTGTATAAGAAATCTCTAGTTCATTATAAAATAACTATTTTTTAACGGACAAAAAATAGGCCTGTTAAATATGCATCATTAAAAAAAAAATCTTAAACGTGCCAATTTAAGAAAATAATAATAATAATAATAAGAAGAAGCACTCGTAATATTTTAGGTAAGAAAAAGTCAAACAACTATCAAGGCCACAACTAGGGTGGAAATAAAAATTGGTCAATGCAGGACGGCCCGAATTATTCCCACGTGGCAGAAATTTAGACTACATTTGGCATGATTTTAATAATTTTTTAGTACAATTCTTTTTTAATTATAAAAAATTAACTACAATTTTACTTTAAAAAATAGAAAAAAAATTGTCTCAAATGAAGCCTTAATCCATCACACAATAATTGATAAAATCATAAAATGTTACTTAATTAAATATACAATTACAAATTTCATATTATAGAAAAGTATCTTAAATATTGTATTAAGTTAATTCTATGGCACAACACATATTATAAATAATGAGAGATTTAGATTTTGTTAGGGTCAACTTTTGACTATTATTTTTTCATTGCTTACATTGATTTTTTATGTTAAAAATCTGCTTTAAGAAGCAATAAAAAAGTCGTCCCAAATGAAGCCTTATTTCATTCAGAATAACTTTCTTACTTATTTATTTTTTATATCACAACTATAATTTCTATTTGTCCATTATTTTTTTACTACTTTTAAGAAATTTTTGTACTAAGAAACTACTTTCTACAACTGCTTTCATGCACAGTAACTTTACGAAAACTTTTATAAAAAATTGCAGTCATCTCAAACGAATCCCAAGGATATGTTTGGGATTGCTACATCATTTTATAAAGTTGTTTGTGTAGAAAATAACTTAAGCTACTATGATTGTTAAAAACTACTTTCCACCACAAAAATTTCTAATAAATTAAGTTTTCCCAATCATAAGCTAAATCAATTACAAATAATGCTAACACAATGTTAATTACAGATAAGATTAACATATTAATGATGTTTACAGCAAGATGGAGCAATTAACAATCCTAGATTGTCATTAATTTACAGTTGGGATGTTGAGTATTAAATCATATAATTGTATTTAATATTTTAATGTACCTAAAGATTGTTCTAATCAATTTATTTGACTTATAAAGACGACTAATCCACCTAATAATACAGCACCTAATTATTTTATAGGGCTAAAAAAAGTAGACTCTAAATTTTATTGAGATGCATTTAAAATAATATTATCATAATGGACATTGTTGCGGGCTACAATATATGCGGTAATAGAGTGAGGGAATTCACACAAACAGAGAGAAGATAAAACACTAATAATTTTTATGTGGAAAATTCTGAAAAGGGAAAAAAACAACAGGCCACATCCAACCGAAATGATTCCACTAAATTTGGGTGAGTTACAAAACTTGACCCATCCTTTAATATGGAGAAAGTGAAATTATAATAGTTTAGGGAGTTGGGCAGAAGTCCGATTATGGTTGGCGGTCGGGTATAAATCCAACAATAACTGATGGCTGGGCAGAAGTCCGACAACGACTGGTGGCCAAGTAGAAGTCCAGCAATGGTCGGTGGCTGGGCGGTGGTCAAGGAGAAGCTTGGTGGCTAGAGAGATCTCATATTTCTTTTCCTTTTTCCACTTCTTCATTCTCTTCCTTCTTCATCTACCTCAAGTGAAGAATGAAGAGTCTATTTATAAATTTCTGGGAATAACATGACTAGTAAACAAAGAGAAGATCAATGATATGCTGGGAGTGTTTTGAATGGAAGGCCGATATCAACTCCCTTGATCATAGATGATTTATCGAGTATTGAGTGTCTTAACGATGTTGGAGTTTAGTGATCTTGGGTTCGTTGGATTTGTCTTGTCGAGCCGCTCGATTCTACTATAAACATGTTATATTTTGATATCATTTGGTCATCCATTTTATGCTTTGAATATTTTAAATGAGCTTCGAGTCCTCAATTTGGTCCCGTTTGGGCTCGGATTGGATCGAATTTGGTGTCGTTTGGTTCATCTTTTTGAGATGTTCAGCTCGACTATAAGTTTGCTAAAATCTGAGTTTGGATGGTTCCATATTTAATTTTAGAAGCTTCTTATTCAAAATTGTCTCCAAATTTATGCTCGATCAACATAAATTTTTATTAAATATCAGACATATTATCTATTACATAGCTGATTTGAATTTACATGAATATGTTAACATGCAAATGAATATATAAATGTGTATGTACACATGCATATCATAGACTACTGCATTAATTCATCATTCAATTTGCAAAATATCATATATTGTAACTAAATAATGTGCAAATGCAAAATGCATCATATGTGTATACATACAGATATGTTACAATGCATACATACAACAGCCACATAAATATATCTAAAAAAACACATACATAAGTATATACATGCATGGGCCCCGACGAATGTGTCATATACACACATGTGACGTCTAAGGATGCTGTGCAAGTCAAGAAATGAACATATGTTCAAGCTCGATCCTTCTATGTGGGTGGATAGGAGTCGACATGATTTGAACTATCAAATAAGTATACGACCGTGATATCAACCAGAATATTTGTTTCATACATTCATATTAGACATTCAAAGTCTAAAATAAAAGAAATGCACTAACAAAGGCATAAAACCAATGATGAACCCGATCTTCTGTCGGGAAATAGATAGAGTCAATAAATTTGATCGATAAAGTAAAATCGAACAGAAATACCCCAATGATGGTCGTGTTTACGAAAAATCTCAACCGAAGGGTCCTCAAATATTTAAAAATGCCTCCACAAATTTTCAAATGCTTAGAAAATTCAAAAATCTAAAAAATATCATAATGTCAAAATATTTAAAATTAAAATAAAACACCAAAATACTTAAAACAAAATCTATCGACCCTCTGCAATAATTTGCCTAGGTGGATAAATTTGAAAATTATTTCATCTCACAAAGAGTCAATATTTGGTCAAAAATATAACTATGATTCATTCTCAAATATTCTCTTATAACTAAGGATATGACATGGGTCATGTAACTAATGTTTTGCCACCAAATGACGCCACATGTAAACGGTTATGATCAGGACCATCTGAAATGGGTGATTTTGCCGTCAAATGACACCATTAAATTACAGTCACAGTCAATGACTTCAAATCCTTGAGATATGAATCAATAGGATATAATCGATAGGGCACAAAATCTTTTGTTAGCTAAGGTGGATTCAAATTATGTAAATATTCACTCCAAGTCTACAAGGTACCCTTAGAAGAAGCAATCCATGACTGCCGACAAGGATCCTTCATTCAAGTTGGGTCGACCATCACCTCTGACTAAGTGTATCAGGGACCACGATAGTCCGGGATGACGTACAGAATCATGGGATCTTGATCGGGCTCATAATCCCGCTTTAAGTGCAAGGTGGTAATTAAACTTTCAATTTTAAATATTAAATTTCTAAATACCAAATCACGCTGCTAGTATACACTAGATATTACGTATCTTTTTAACGACTAGCCTTAATCGAAAGTCCTCTCTCGTTCAGAGCCCTGACTGGAGCAATTAAGAATGATGAAAAAAAAACTTTTTATCATCATAATTTTTAAAAAAAAAAAAAAAAAAAAAAAAAAGGAAAAAAACTGTTCCAAACAAAACCCAGCCACAAACACTTGTCAGCTACAAATTGCGTCATGGCAACCACCTCGTTTCCTCTGCACAATACAAAAATGAGCATTGTTCATCAATAATGTAATTTGATCAAATGAAGTAGTTACTTATTTCTTTTATGCTTCCCATGAAATCATCGGATCACCTCTCTCTGTATGTATTAGGATAGGTGCTTAGTAAATTACAAACTATATACATGTAGCCAATGAACGAATGACATGTGTCTTGTACTTGTCATTTCACATCTATTTATACCCACTCATGTACGACAGCTGAATTTGAACAATACAAATATTATTTCCTCTTCTTGATTCATCTTCCTCATCTCCGGCCTTGCTCCGGTGATCTTCCATTCAGCCCGATTTCTACATGGTATCAGGCCTCTCGTTTCCTTTCTTTTTCGTCCTCAATCATGACGATTTCCCATTCTGCTTCCTCCTCCGCTACCGAGCAGCAGCCAAGAAATCCGACCGAGAACTCCCCAATCTCCCATTCACTCAAGTTCGTCGTGTCCAATCTCAAGACTCTCGTTCCGCATCAATTATCACCGGATAACTATCCTATATGGCGTCACCAGATTCTCAAGCTCCTTCGGGCAAACGATTTTGAGCAGTTCTTGGCTCCGCCCACGCATTCCGGCAATGTATCCGATCCAGACATTGATTCTGTCATCAAGAATTGGAAGATTACTGATGAGAACCTTCAAGCTGCGGTCTGCTCTACCATTTCTCCGGCGGTGCTACCCTACATCATCCACCTCGATACAACTCACGAAATATTGCAGGCTCTTGAAAGCCAATTTCAGGCCACTAGCCGCTCCAAAGTTATACAGCTTCGCAATGAACTTCATCATGTGTTGATGAAAAACCTTTCAATGACGCAATATCTCACCGAGATCAAGAAACTCGTCGATCAAATCGCCTCTGCCGGATCCTCCATCGACTCCAAAGACATTATATTACATATCTTGAATGGGTTAACTCCTGCGTATCAATCGTTCAAGACCTACGTGTGAAACTCTCCCCTACCTATTCGACTTGAAAATCTTTACGCAATGCTAATAAGTGAAGAAATTCACGTCAACGCAGAGCGCTGCTCGCCTTCACACTGATACGTTACAGCAATCTGCTCTGTACTCTAACAGGGGTCGCGGTCGTAGGAACCGCGAACATTCGTCTCAAGCATCACAGTTTGTTTCTCGCACTGGACAGTAGCAGTCGCTCCCTGTCTGCCAAATTTGCCTCAAGAAAGGGAATACGACCGATGTATGCTGGCATCGGATGAATGCCAACTATACCCCGCAGCCGAATACACCTAAGCAGAACAATGCTCTTATCGCGAATTCGGAAGCTCCGTCTCAAGACTGGTACCTGGACACAAGGGCCTCTTCGCATATGACGAACACAAGCGACAACCTCTGTCAATCCACTCCCTATATGGGCAACGATGGTATCTTCATCGTGGACGGCAGGAACATCCCGATTGCTCACTCGGGCACGGGTATTCTTCCCACCCCGAATCGTAAGTTTCTTTTATCTAATTTGCTACACGTTCCTAAAATTTCCTACAATCTCTTGTCCATCTCACAACTCGTTAAAGATAACAACATTTCAATTACCTTTGACCCTTCCGGTTTTGTGTGTAAGGATCTGACGACAAACAAGCAGCTTCTACGCGGTCCTTGTAAAGCAGGTCTCTACAAGATTACACCTACTTCCACAATTAACTCTCCGGAAGTCGCCTGCGCTGCATCCACGAACCCAAACTTCACCTGGCGTGATCGTTTGGGACATCCGCATTTCAAGATTTTGAAGAATATAGCTCAAAGCAATTCGGCCTTACATATTTCTCCTTTCAATACTTCATGTACCACTTGTATTCAATGTAAACTGCATAAACTACCTTTTGAAAGTTCTATCTCTCGAACACACACACCACTCGCACTCGTGCACTCCGATGTTTGGGGCCCGTCACCGGTTTCCTCTACAAACGGGTTTCATTTTTTCGTTATATTTGTAGACGATTTTTCGCGATATACTGGGTTGTTTCCGATTATACATAAATCTGAAGTTACTACAACGTTTATAACTTTTACCAAGTTTATCGAAAATCAAACGAAACATTCTATTAAGATTCTCAGGACCGACGGCGGAACAGAATTTAACAATTACGCTATGAAATCATTCTTGCATTCCAAGGGTATTGGTCATCAAATGTTCCGTCCTTACACTCCGGAGCAAAACGGAGTGGCCGAGCGCAAGAACCGCCATATCGTGGAGACCGTTCGGTCTTTGCTTCACAAAGCTTCTATGCCTTTCCAATATTGGCCTGAGGCAACTGCAACTGCTGTATACTTAATTAACAGGATGCCCTCTTCAACCACCCACGACAAATCTCCCCTGCAGCTTCTCTTTAATACCACACCCGAATATAATCATCTTCGGGTCTTCGGGTGCGAATGCTTCCCGCTTCTTCCACCTAATACACGGACGAAATTTGATCCAAAATCTAGATCTCACGTCTTCATGGGATATTCAGACCGGCATAAGGGATACATTTGCCTTGACAGGGAATCTCACAAATACTTTATCTCTCGACACGTTAGATTCATTGAAAATTCTTTTCCGTTCGCTAATAACTCTCCGTCCTTGCAGATATCTTCAACTGCTTTGCCTTACTCGTTGCTTTTGCCAACGTCCAAATCTCATGAGTTCAGTACGCAGCATACAAGCCATCAGCTACAAGAGCGTACATCAACTAGTCCCACACAAATCCTTGCAGCCTCACCCATCCAGTCTCCTCTGACTCATCATGGCGATCTCACAGCCCGTAACTTATCTTCCCCTGTGCAAGTGCGACATCCAATGATCACTAGAGCTCAGACGGGTTCCCTAAAATTATTACAACGTCTCAATTTGATGGCTAACACGCTAAACCCCGCGGGCTCCGAACCCGATCCTACCACTTTCAAAGAGACATCCAAACATCTGGAATGGCGGAAAGCGATGGCTGATGAGTTTGTAGCACTTCAACAGCAAGGCACTTGGGATCTTGTCCCACCTCCATCTAGCGCTCCCGTACTCGGCTGCAAGTGGACGTTCCGTAAGAAATTCAACTCCGACGGCAACGTGGCTCGTTTCAAGGCTCGTTTGGTCGCTCAGGGTAACCAGCAGGAGTACGACATCGACTACGGCGAGACGTTCAGTCCGGTTTCTAAACTACCAACCATTAGGGTCCTCTTCACTATAGCCCTGTCTAAAGGTTGGTCGGTTCAGCAGTTGGATGTATCCAACGCTTTCCTTCATGGACAACTTACAGACACCGTATATATGGCGCAACCAAGAGGATTCATTGACAACGAATTTCCCGATCACGTCTGTCATCTTCGAAAATCCATATATGGCTTACGTCAGGCACCGCGACAATGGTATACTACATTCACGAAGTACCTAATTCAACTTGGTTTCAATATAGCACGGCGGATCCCTCACTGCTCACATTCAAACAAGATTCGACTCTCATTTTTCTGCTTGTATACGTTGACGACATTCTGGTGACCGGCAACAATTAAGCACTCTTATCGGACATGCTGTCCAAATTACACAGTAAATTCAATATGAAGAACCTTGGCTTGGCTCATCACTTCCTCGGCATCAAAATACAAAAACATCAAGATAAGTATTTCCTATCTCAGTGATCAGCTTATGCTACCTCTATTTTAAACTCAGTAAATCTACTCCATTGTAATCCACTCTCTAATCCCTCGTGTACGAAACTTCCCGATCAGGTTCCTAATGACAGCAACCTCTCCGCAAACGAGACCTACAAACGTGTCACAGGATCGCTGCAATACTTGACGTTGACTCACCCGGACATTGCACATGCGGTTAACGTCCTCTCTCAGCATCTGCACGAACCATCCCAAACACACGCCTATCTCCTCAAGCGTCTGCTACGATACATCAAAGGGACACTGTCTTTCGGCTTACCTATTCTACCGGGAACACTCAACCTTTCTACCTACTCAGATGCCGACTGGGCCGGCGATCCAGTCACAAGAAAATCCACAACGGGTCACTGCACATGCATCGGCAGCACGCTCGCCTCGTGGACAGTCAAGAAGCAGACGACGGTTGCTCGGTCGTCCACCGAATCCGAATACTGGGCACTTGCGGCAGCTACAGCCGACACCATTTGGCTCAAGCGTCTGCTTAACGATTTCAGTATCCAACACAGCCAGCCGATCGAGCTCTTCTGCGATAACACCTCTGCAATCGCGCTCGCACACAATCCGGTGTATTACGCCCGCACAAAGCATATCGAAATTGATCACGGGTTTGTAAGCGATCATATTCAAAACCAGGTCATCCGGTTCACTCCGATCAGCACTCTTCATCAAATCGCGGATATTTTCACTAAGCCACTACCTACAGCATGATTCAAGGATCTCTGCTCCAAACTCACGATTCAGGATGAATCATTAGTTTGACAGGGGCTATTAGGATAGGTGCTTAGTAAATTACAAACTATATACAAGTAGCCAATGAACGAATGACATGTGTCTTGTACTTGTCATTTCACATCTATTTATACCCACTCATGTACGACAGCTGAATTTGAACAATACAAATATTATTTCCTCTTCTTGATTCATCTTCCTCATCTCCGGCCTTGCTCCGGTGATCTTCTATTCAGCCCGATTTCTACAGTATGCATCTAATTCCCTCTCCATACTTTCATCACAAATAAAATAAATATAATAAGGAATTTTCTCTTACTTAGACTTCGGTTTCGTTTGGGACAATTTTTTGCTATTATTTTTTAGTTATTTTCAAAAAAAATTTGTGCTAGAAAGTTGCCGCAAAAAATATTAAGAAAACAATTCACAAATAAAGCCTTAGATTTTGTTTGGAACAGCTTTCTTATTGCTTTATTCTTCAGACCGCAACCACAAATTTTATTTGAGCATTATTTTTTTATGATTTTCAATAATTTTTTGTGCTAAGAATCTATTTTCTACAACTGCTTTTAAAAAAGCTACCTTCTCCACAACATTTTTATAACCATGTTTATAAAAAGCTTCATTTGCTTCACTTAGGGTCCGTTTAGAACGGTTGCAGCTTTTTATAAAGTTGGTTGTAAAATTATTATGAACAAAATATTTATTTTAAAAGATGTTGTATAAAGCAACATTTTAGCACAAAAATTTATTAAAAGTAGTAAAAATTAATAATAAAATAAAAATCATAGCTGTAATCTAAAAATATAAATAGCAAGAAAATTATCTCAAATAAAAATTTAAGTGCGAGAAGCACATGAGATGACATTATAGGCAAAGATATGAACCTGACTTTGTAGTCTCATCCATCAATTAATAAAGCATGGCAGAAATTAATTTGATCAATCAAATCCTGAACATGTTGTTGAGTTACTAAATATTCTATTGGATTTTTATTCATATGGTATAATTATTGTTCGTGGTTAGTTATTTCTTTACATAAACTTACACGACGGATGTATTTAATTTGACTACTCATGTTTTTTATTTGTTATTGTTCTATAATTATATAAACTAAAAAAAAAAGAAGTAAAATTGATATTTATTTGCAATTATTTGGAAGCAACATAAAAAATTTTGTAGAATAAAGTACGATTATAACTAAGGCTTCGTTTGGGACTATTTTTTATTGCTTATTAAAGCGACTTTAGTACAAAAATTAATTTTTGTGTGCTAAAAAGAAGAGGTGGAATGTTCATAAATTTTAATTTTGTACTAAAAAAAACTGCTTTAAGAAATAATAAAAAATCATCCCAAACGAAGCTTAAATCTAAATAAATAATTGTGTTTGAATATAATAATGTATTTTACTTTACAATATGTTTATAAGTCTTGAATTTATAATGAGATTAGTGCAACCCTTATTTATCAAATATAGTAACAATCTCAAAGAAAATTTAAGAATTTTAAAAAATTAATATCTTGAAAGAATGTTATAGCTGCATGTCTCATTATTTAAAGAAAATTATTTTTCATAGTATTTAAAGAACCAAGCAAGGCTAAGAGATACAATTTTCAAAACTGAAAATTAGAAGTATTCAATGAATATAAAACAAGTTAAAATTTGGTAACCAGATGAAGGAATTCTCAGGAATAATTCAGAAACCAACCCACGCCCAATATTAGGAAAAATTATTGCGTCTTCCCACCTGATGTAGAGATACGTCCTCCCACCACTAAAATCGCGCTAAAAAATAAGAAATACCAAGCAAATACCGAGCAATACCAAATAATAACGAGGAATATCATCATGTGAAGATCAATACCGAGCAATACTGACCAATACAAAAAAATACCTAGTTTTTCCTTGAAAAAACTCGGTATTGCTCGGTATAGCTCGGTATAGCTCGGTATAACTCGATATTGGTCTTCACATGATGATATTCCTCGTTATTACCAAATAATAGCTAGTAATACTGAGAAAAAACCGAATTTTTTAGCGGTGGGAGGACGTATCTCTACGTCAGGTGGGAGGACGCAATAATTTTTCCAATATTAGAGGGGGAGATATAATAATAAATATTTAAATATATTACACTTCAAGCTGTTAATGTCCAACAATGTCAACCATTGGCATACCATATTGAGCGTTTCAACACAACATAATTAGATCAATGCTCTCTAAAATCTCTTTTAATATAGACAAAAGATTGAGTTTTAATTGGAATAATTATATATTAAGGTTTCGGTTGGGACGGCTTTTTTACAGCTTCTTAAAGCAGTTTTTTATCATAGAATTTTAATTTTGTATTAAAAATCTGCTTCAAGAAGCAATAAGAAAGCCATCCCAAGCAAAAATCTTAGGCTTCGTTTGGGACGGCTTTCTTCCTGCTTCTTAAAATAGCTTTCTAGTACAAAAATTAAATAAAAAGTTGCTTTAAGAAGCAGTAAGAGAGCTGTCTCAAACGAAGCCTTATTTTAATAATTCATATATTTACTAATTATATTATTTTAGCTTTAATTTACAAATGTAAGATGATTTTCATGTCATTATAAAAATAATACATTTTCATGATAATTTTCAAAAATAACATTCAAATTTTTTATGAATTAGAAGAAAATGAATTCTCCATAATCTTTACATCTGTATTAAGACTTCGTTTGGAACTATTTTCTTATTATTTATTAAAAAAAAATTTACTAAAAAATTATTTTTTAGAAACAATAAGAAAGCCATTTAATTTGTCGTCCCAAACTAAGCTTAAGAAGAGTTATATGGAAGCAGGCAGCAACGAAAGTCAATTCAACTGCATGTATTGTATGACTTTCTACTTCTCTCTCTCTATATAGTCTATATAAAAGGAAGCGAGATCAAGCTTCAGCGCACCTCATCATTATTCGTTAAAGCCTCCACATCCCACAAGTATAGATATATAAGAGGGAGAAGGAAGACGTAGTACTGTAACATTAGATAAACAGACTACAAAGGTATTCGATCTTTGATAAAGCTGAATCTCTTCTTGTAGGATCTGCAAGTAGCTTGTAAGAAAGCATGGGGATCTCTGTGTCATTTGACGAGTTGCTTGCCACATTTGTACCTGTGTTAGTATATTGGATCTATTCAGGGATTTTTATGATTCTGGGAGATATGAACAACTATAGGCTTCATAGTAAGGCTGAGGAAGAAACCAAGAATTTGGTCTCCAAGACAACCGTTCTCAAAGGCGTCCTCCTGCAACAATCCATTCATGTCTCTCTTTCCCTTCTCTTCTACACGGTAATTGATGATTCTCCTTCTAATAATTAATACAATTTATGATGTTCTTGATCTTCTTTGCTAACTATGTCTGTGTTGTTCCATGGAGCTATACAGATCAAGAGCAACGATGGTTCCAACTCTCCTCAACAGTCTTCCATGGTGGTATTCATTCTTCAGATTTTTGTTGCCATGGTGGTGCTCGATACATGTCAGTATTTCACCCATAGACTGATGCACATCAACAAATTCTTGTACAAGCACATTCACTCTCAACATCACACGCTTATTGTCCCATACGCATTTGGGGCTCTATACAACCACCCTCTTGAGGGCCTCTTTTCCGACGGCGTGGCCGGAGCCATCGCCGTCGCCGTCTCTGGAATGAGTCCTCGTGTCGCCACCGTCTTCTTCTCGTTCACCACCATCAAAACCGTCGATGATCATTGCGGATTGTGGCTTCCAGGAAACTTGTTTCATCTGTTTTTCACAAACAATAGTGCATTTCATGATATACATCATCAGCTCTATGGTTTGAAGCGCAACTTTTCTAATCCTTACTTTGTGACTTGGGATAAGTTACTGGGGACTTACATGCCTTTCAAGCTTGAGAAGAGAGAGAAAGGAGGATATGAGGCACGGCCAATAGCTCATTCAAAGATCAATTGAACACAAATTGTAATTCGATTTGATTTATTCAACCACTGTAGTCCAATGTGAATTTCATTTGTCAGTATGTGTGCTTGAAAACTTATTCTTAGAAGGTATGGGAAATAAAATATACTGTTTTTTTTTTTGGAAAAATAAATATATTGTTGAAATGTTGGTTCTGTCATATTTCTGTACACAACATATATAGCTGGAGTGTTCCGTGTATAGGATTAAATGATAATACCTGCTCTCATGTGTTTTTTTTTTAAGTAGTGAAAAAAGTACATGAGTACTTAACATGGAAAAATTCAAAACTAGAAGCCACATCATACTAAGAAATTCATTATTAACATTGGGAGAATTTATATAGATCTCTTGCTCTCCCTTTCTCTCTTTCTCTTTCTTTGTCTCTCTTCATTTCTCGCACCATTATCTACACATAATAGACAAAGACACACATAAAAGCACCTAAGGAATGCAACCCTTCAAGTTAAACATGAAAAACAAAAATGAAATTTGTCAAGCCCAACTCGCAATACCGCAAAGCCATGTTTTGAGCGTTATTGACACTAATATTTATATACAATCTCTCTCATAGCACAACAATGCTCTACTCTCTCTCTAGTTTGACTCGCAGCATTACAACGTTGGGGTTTGGAGCACCATAATGCTCTGCTCTCTGCCTGCCTCCAATCAAACTATACAACGCCACATCGCTTGAGTACATAACACTGCACCGTTTTATGATTGATTGTAAGGAAAAAAAAAGAATTCGAGGACCCCTACAAGCCCACAAAGCTCATCAACATAATTGAGCTTCGAGGTAACATTACAACACAATTAATCAACAAAATCATATTCCACCCAAAACTAACATACTACTTTTTGTTTTAGAGTTGCTTTGTAGTGTTTTTTTTTTTTTTTTTTGTCTTGCATTCCTAACATGAATTTGTATTAAGAGCTCCCTTAAAAATTTCCCAAGCAAACACAGAATATTATAACTGTTAATGTTTCACAAATTCTTAAATTTTCGTTTGTTAGAGCTAAGCCATAACATTTAATATCCTGCCTGAATTTCAACTTACCTTGAATAGACAAAAACCAAAGAAAAAACAGTAATCTGAATCCATTGTTTCTGAACAAAGCAATTATCATTTTCTTTGGAACTCGACTAAAAAATCAGCAGCAGTTTGAATGGGAGAAATTATGATGGCAAACATAATTATATCGAGTTCAAAAAAATAACATTAAGTCAAAAGAAGGCAGCATGATTGCCTAAATATGACACCTTAAGCTTGCCATAAACAAAATCGGCTGAAATAACTTATTACATTCTGGTACAAACAATGCTCTTTCTCTCTCTAGACCTCAAGCTCCTGCACCAAGATGGAAAGCAATGTGGCTGGCTATTAAGGGTCCCTCCCTTCTGATTCCAGTTGTTAGAATCCAAAAGGATAATTAACATAGAAGTTCTCCACAAGTTGTCATTCTCTCATATGTGAGCTGTCTTGTTCTTTCCTCCAGTTACCCAATATTGCTTCACAGCAACCAGTATCTTCTCCGGCACAAGAGGACCGTCCTCATGATCAGCAAGCTTCGAGCTCCATTTCATGCCGCCGATCATCTTCTTCACCTTTATCAGTACATCAACCTCATCCCGGAAAATGACTGCACCTTCAGGCCTAAGAATCCTATCCATCTCCAGAAGAATATCTTCCATTTTGCACCTGTTTGTTGAAAGATCAAGCACTCATACTCATCATTCAGATCAGAGTGAGAAGAGAATACACGATGAATTTTAAAAAATTTACAACATTAGAACAGAAATAGCCTACTTTCCTGTGCAATCTTTTTGAAAGTCAGCGCAAAAACAAGAGAAGGTCAAGAATCATAGATTTTTAGCAACAATTATACTCACCTGCCATTCTTTTCACTTAATTTCTGCCTATGTTATAATTAACTCCATTTTGACCAAATTTTTGTGCAACTTTGAGCCATTTGGATCTCCTCGATCCTTTTTTTCTTTCATATTCCAAGTATTAGAGCTGGGGTCTATTTCCTCATCTAGTTTGTGCATTTTTTCTCCCTATGTCATAAGCTGAAATAATTGAAATCTATTTTCACTAGTATTAATTCCATTTTTCAATATAACACGTGTATATTGTTTGTCTATCTTATATTATCATACACTCTCAAAAAATTTCAAGTTCCCTGCACTCACTGGTTTTAGTGACTTCATCGTTCCTCAACACGGACTAATTAAAGACGGTCAACCATTATCATTTCATAATCTTTTCAATTCTGTTTTTGATTTCCCCTTACTAATAAATATATGGACAAACGATCCAGTTAGCATCTCAATAAGGCAGTAACACGCTATCAATCAGATGAGGTTTTTCCACAAAGAAATCCATTAAATTTTAATGACCTGTTTAAATGGATAGAATCCTATTTCAAAATTCTAAAGATGATTGCTAATAATTTCATCTGACTGAGCTAAAGAGGTGCAGCCAAGTCTACGTTATAGTCTGAAAGTTTGATTGTTGTGACAATTAATGGGGTTTACATAATCAAAGCAAACATGATTGTGAATGAGTAAAAGTTGAATGTATCAAAATATCAATGCAATATCCACTTACTTATCCTTATACAGGCTGAACACACCATAAGCATGGATTAAGTCATACGTCCTTGGGTAAGTAGAGAAAGCTTCACACCTGGAACAAGAGATGAAATTGAAAAAACTAGTCAACGTAGGAGTCAAGAATGCATAAATGAAAGAAAACATTGAGAGGTTTTTCCTTTTAACAGATATGATTACAAGACAAGTTCTGTCCAAAGCTCAGTCAAGAACAACTGGACACAAGTTTTACTGAAAAGAGCAGTAAGATCTTCAATAATAAAAGTGCATACCAATCATGATAAATGCCTATCAATCCTCGTTCATATATAACACCTAGAGTAGAAGTATCAGCGATTGTAGGCACGACATTCATGACCCATAGATTAGGAGAATCAATTGCTGCAGCGAAGCTACCCAGTCCTGCATTCATGTCCATGATATTGCGGTACCTTCCTGTATCAAGCAACTTGTTGATTTTCTTGTAAAACAAAACATGTTTCTTCCAAATTTTGTTCTCTTCCTGGTATGACTCAACAGAGTACCCTGTTACAGAACCACTAGATATTCTGGGAGGCACCGCATATAACCTTTCTGGGAATGGTTTCAATTCCCCTCCAGCAACCTCATCAGCATTATTCACTTCAGGAAAAGGAGAGACACATGCTTCCATTTTCTTGTACCTAGTATCACAAAAGAATCATTCAATTTGCATTGAAATTTAAAAAATGAACATTGTACTAATTCAGAATGATAAATACCGGTTAAAAAGTACTAGCTAATTAAACTCGGTTGCAAGACAAGCAAGTTCTTGTGGAGCTTACTATTGGTTAAAGTAGTACAAGAACAATGGCAAGAACAAAGACGAAAAATAAATAAATCTGTAGAAAAACTAGAAAAATAATGGATGCAAAATTCATGTGATTCAAAATTCATGTGATTCGATGATTTCCTCCATCCAAAACTGATGTTTCACCAATCGATGAATGAGCAACAACAACATCAACAACATGTTTTTATCCCACTATTGATGCAATCATGCAACCTAAAAATTAAAAACAACCTTGATTCTAGGAATGCAAATTACAAACTTTCTTTCAATATAACAAAACAAACACCGATAGAACAGAACAACACACCACTCATATTAAACATGACAAAACAACACCTTACAATTTACAATAAAACATGGCACAACACCACTTACAACTTTCAATAAATAGGACACAACAACACTTATAACTTCCAATAGTTTCAAGAAGAAGAATGCTGGTGGAATGAAAACCGTGGAGAGAAGAAGATAGAAGTCCAAGACAAATTAGTTGTGAAAAGGTAAAAAAGGACAATAGTATTGTTAGGCCGGTTCTCCTTGAACCAGCCCAACCGGCCCAAGGGCCGGTTCTATATAACAGGAGGCAGACAAATCGCAACCTTGGGAGTGCCGCTCAAGCCTAGTGGGCCCACTAGGCAGGCTAATTAGGGAAGAAGAGGGGGGCGGTTAGGAGTGGGAGGGAAAATTTTAAATCCGGAGTTTGAAATTAGGGAAGTAGGGATTAAATAGCAAGAGTTGTTTAGGGTTAGGGTTATGCATATTTTGGTGGTTGTACTGAAAGAAGAATTTCCCCTCCTTCCTCCAGTCTGATCCCTTCCAATCTGTGTAGCTCCACCAAGTAACCTTACCCCGCCTCTTGTATGCTCCTCACCATTATTTTAAGTGAGACCATGGCCTTTGAGAGCCCTGCATCTCCCATTATCTCTATTTTTTCCCTTCCACCACCAGCTCCATCTTCAATGCCCCCCAATTGACTTTGGTGTCTCCCAAAGTCTGCAGCTATTTCATCCTAGGATGACATCAGTGCCCCCTAGCTCCAATGGGAGGAAATCCTCCCTCACTTGAACCCCATGTATAGTCAAGACTATTCATTTACATATCCCCTGGCCCATCTCCACCTTCACTGTACCCATCATTACCATAACGTCCTATATCCACTAGGGCTGTCAACAAATGACCCGACCCGGCAATCCGACCCGAAAAATTCGAGTTAGGGTCGACCCGTTTAATAAACGATTAAACGGGTCGGGTTCAGGTTTTACTTTTGGACCCGTATAACAATCGGGTCGGTTTCGGGTTAACCCGGTAACCCGATTCCGACCCGAAAACAACCCGCGTTAATGAGAGTTTTAATAACGTCGAGTCGTCGAGCGGTCGAGCCATCGAGCGGATCAGCGGATAAGTTAGGGATTTCTCATTTCTGAGTTAGGGTTTCTCTATCTCCGACTCCCATCTCCGATTCTCTCGCTTCTTGCCTTCCTCCAGGCCGTTCGCACTCGCAGTTCGCACCTTTGGCTTGGTCTGTAAGACTGTAATCACTAGTCAGTGAACTCATTACTCATGAATAAGTTTGGTTTCATTTTTTTAGAAGTATTTTGGCATTTTGCTGCGTTTTGGTTTCTGATCGACTGATCTACAATTCTACAGATCTACTATTCTACGAATCTACATTATTTCTACTCTTCCTTTATTTCACAATTTATCAATCTGGAAGTTAGGGTTTGCAGTTTGATGTTTTTGACATTTGGTTTTGGACCTTTAAGGTCTTGTCTAGCACCGTTTATCATATTCTTGAATCTTGAGTATGACTTTTGAGTTTTGAGTCTTTTGGCATCTCATATGTCGGCAATCGGCATGCCGTCTGCGCCTCAGCGGGTCGGGACTGGGAAAATATGGTTTTCATTTATATTTTGCCATTACAGTGACTCAGTGAGAGTGAATTAGTGATTACACAATACAGTAATACACAAATAGAATTTTTTGTTCAGAATTTGTTATTTATTAAGTTGTTAACTTGTTATGAAGTATGAACTATGATAGTAATCCACTAATCCAGTTAGGCTTTGAGCCTTTAAGCCTATGATTATGTTTCCCTGTTGTTTCTTGTCTTTTGAAATAGTGAATACTAAATAGTCTAATACTATTGTGTATTTGTGCGAGTAGCCTAGTACTATTTAAATTCTTTGAGCCTTTAAGCCTATGATTCTGTTTCCATATTACCTTATTAGTTTTTTTCTTTAATATTTCGTAAGTATGTGTTTTTTTTACTTTTTTTGGTGTTTAGATGGAGGGTTCTAATACAATTGTTGACAGTAATTCTCTCGAGCAAAATGAGGAAGACCCTATTGATAATGATGTTGAATGTGACAGTGATGAGTATAACAATGTGGATGTGGGTGAGGACCGTGAAGTTGGTGATAATGCAATTCAAAATGAACAAAAAAATAAAAAAAGAGGAGGTTGACCTCTACTGTTTGGGGGCATTATGAAATGTTGCCATTTGGTAATGATGGCAAACAACGTTGCAAATGTAAGAAATGTGGGGCAACTTACTTGTCTGATATTAAAAATGGGACAGATAATCTGAGACGTCACATTCAGAACTGTAAGAAGCGGAACTCCCATGATATTGGTCAACTTATTCTTCAAAGTAACACAAGCACTTCTATTTCTATGGTTGAAAATAAGTTTGATTATCATGAATTTCGTAGCTTGTTTACTGCATGCATAGTTAAGCATGACTTACCTTTTCAGTGTGTGGAATGGTCTGGTGTTAGAACATTACTTCGATACTTGCGTCCTGATTTACAAATTGTATCCAGAAATACAGCACGAAATGACTGTAAGAAATTGTTCATTAAGGAGAAAGCTCAGATACAAGCCCTTCTATGTACTTGTAAGAGTAGAGTTTCCTTAACTTCTGATTTGTGGACTTCCATTAACACTGATGGTTTTATTTGCTTAACTGCACATTTCATTGACAATAATTGGCGGTTACAGAAGAAGATTATAAGTTTTGATTATATGCCACCCCCCCATGATGGCTTAGCATTATTTGAGAAACTACAACAGCTTTTGATTGATTGGAAACTTGATAGTAAGCTTTTCAGTATTACTCTAGATAATGCTTCAGCGAATACTGTCTCAGTTGATTTTCTAAGAAATCATTTGAATTTGCAAAATGCACTAATATGCAATGGTGAATTCTTCCACATGCGATGTTGCGCACATATAGTAAATCTTAATGTGCAAGAAGGTTTGAAGGATATAGATTCCTCCGTTATGAAGGTTCGTGAGAGCATTAAATATGTAAAAGGCTCTCAATCAAGAAAACAAA